CCGGGACTCCAGGATCATGACCTGAGCCGAAGGCAGTCGCTTAACCAACTGAGCCACCCAGGCGCCCCCAAACTAGTTAAATTTCTATGTGAGAAAATTCTGGTTCCAGAGTGGACCTGATTAGCTTATCACTTTGAACTTGTGATTCCCAGATGCTGGGTATGAGTTTGACATCTGCTTCACCTCGGTGCAGAAGAGAGCAATTCGGACTCTCTGGACAGTGCTGGATGCCATTGACCAAATGTGGCTGCCAGTAGTGAGGACTTGGCGCCTCAATGAGCGGCACTATGGGGGTCTGACTGGCCTGAATAAAGCAGAAACTGCTGCGAAGCATGGCGAGGCCCAGGTGAAGATCTGGAGGCGTTCCTATGATGTCCCACCACCTCCAATGGAACCCGACCATCCCTTCTACAGCAAGATCAGTAAGGTATGGACTAATGGAGGTTTCACTCACTCCACCTAGGACCACAGGTTAGGGTCCTGGGCCTCACTCTTTCTTAGCTTTTTATTAGTGTCTGCCTAGTCCCATTGAGTTTATAATTTATGACAAATTGTTAATTGTTTTAGTTCCCCTTCTCCAAGGAATGACCTTCACTTGTTAAAAGATAGAGCTGGTAGTTATTTAAAATTTTTTTTTAGATTTTATTTATTTGAGAGAGAGAGATAGAGAGCACAAGTGGGGAGGAGAGGGAGAAGCAGTCTCCCCGCAGAGCAGGGAGCCCGGTGCGGGACTTGATCCCAGGACCCTGGGATCATGACCTGAGCCGAAGGCAGTTGCCTAACCGACTGAGTCACCCAGGCGCCCTATCCTTTTTTCTGTCTTTGCTGACATACTTTATAAAACCCATCCATATGTGCTCGCTTTGGCAGCACATATACTAAAACCCATCCATAGTTGTAGGGCCTTCCTAAGCCAAGTGCAAGATTAAGTGAATTGGGAAGAGCTTTGTGCCTACCTTTTTTGCCGCCTTTTCTAAGTTTCTTTTGAATAGTTAATCTTCCCAATTAGTGGGTAATGGTGGTAGGAAGAGCAGCAAGATAATAATTACCCCCTTTGCCAAGCTCTCAGCTCCATTCTGTGCCCTGGTGAGAGACTTTCATCCATCACTTTGACTTAGGGGATGAGGAGTGGGCAGAACAGATGCAACTACTACTAATTGGTGAGTTTGGGGTTTTTTTGTTGTTTAGGATCGAAGGTATGCAGATCTCACTGAAGATCAGCTACCCTCCTGTGAAAGTCTGAAGGACACAATTGCCAGAGCCCTGCCCTTTTGGAATGAAGAAATAGTTCCCCAGATCAAGGAGGGGAAACGAGTACTGATTGCAGCACATGGCAACAGCCTTCGGGGCATTGTCAAGCATCTGGAGGGTATGTATATTTTTCAGGGGAATCCTCAAGGAGGGATACAGCAAAATTGCCACCAATCAGGGACTTAATTCATGCAAAGGAGACCTTTAGGAAAAGGCCAGACATATGGAGCGCCTTGGAGATAGTCCAGATTGACTCCTAGTCACCCTCTACCCTTGTTGCCTCCAAGCATCGTAGATAGACTCGTTGGGTGCTTATTATATATGCAGAGCTTCCGGTCCCCCTTCAGACCTGATGCAGAAGCCGCATCTTACCCACGTGAGTCACATACACATTATAATTTGAGATGCTCACCTTTAGACTAGGACTGCCACTTGAAACTACTGATAAAATCCTCCTTAATCACAACCTGGTACAACTTCACATGTGAATCTCAATTTGCATCCTAAATTGTTTCACCTGAAGGCCTCGAGGCGCAGATGTGCTGATTTTTGGCAGGCTGCATGGACTACATAGGACATTTGAGATGTGTATGGTCCTGCTTCGCTGTGGGTTTCCAAACCCTACTTTGGGAGAGAAATCTGTGGTACACACCTTTTCATACTTTTTTCTTGCTTTTCAGTGGCTGAGAAATAAGTATTTGGCATTCTTTGGGTGACTGATCTATAATACAGATCATCACTGTTATTACAAATATCGGAAAGGGTGTCTTGTTTTAATTCCTACTGTAGTCCTTTGTCACCTGCAGGGGTGATGTGCATTTGTGTCTTGGTTGGCTAATCATGGTGTGTATTTTCAGGTCTTTCCGAAGAGGCTATCATGGAGCTGAACCTGCCAACAGGTATTCCCATGGTCTATGAATTGGACAAGAACTTGAAGCCCATCAAGCCCATGCAGTTCCTGGGGGATGAAGAGACCGTGCGTAAAGCCATGGAAGCTGTGGCTGCCCAGGGCAAGGCCAAAAAGTGAAGGCAAGCAGGGAGACTACTTTCCCAAGGATCCCTCCTTGCCCATCCCACTCCTCTGCACTTCTTCCCTGCACATGTCACACTGACCACATCTGTAGGAATCTTAAGTTTTAGCTGCAGATGGGAACCAGTGGCTCCTAATTTCATTTAGCCATTTTATTTCTTGCATCCATTCCCTTCATATATTCTAGTCAGAATGGCACTTCTGGGGCATGAGTTCTCAGTCCAAGCTGAGAGAAGACTCTTACCCAAGAGTAGGGAATTAGTAACACTGGGGTTTTTGCTACTGCTTTATTACTAAGGACCTGCTTGATTTGGGGATAGGGAGGAACCATGCTAGGTGTGACCAAGTGAGAAGCAGGAGAGCCTATGTGTGGTCTCAGGAGCAAGTCCTGTACTATTCTGTAGTCAGGTGGGGGGCTCTAGTCATTCCAGTGGAAGATGAATGTAACCTGCATGGTGATTAAAAACAATCATTTCCCCTCTGACCCCAGAAGAGCTGGCTCTAGAAGATTGGGATCAATCTGAATGTTTTACATGTTGCATTTACTTTTACAAGGAAAAAAAAAAGTGTGTGTGTGTGTGTGTATATATATATATATATATATATATATGTATATGTATATGTATATGTATATATATATATAAAATACAAAGCAAAAACCCTTCTGGGGTTTCTAATGGCGGTTGAAATATTCCCACATGTGATCATCCAAAAATAAGCCATTCCTCACACCAGTGTGGGATCAATTCCTTGACTTCTGAGGCCTAGGAGTTTATCCTGCTGTGTGTTTCAGAACCCCTCCCCTGCCTTAATGTTTTATGGCAGTGAGATGCCTCTTGATCATGTCCAAGTGTGTCTTTCACTGTATCTGTTTCTGATCATGTTCCAGTTGCTTGGCCCTGCCACGGGCCCAGTACTCATTTTGAGCGTACCTGTACTAAATCTTTTTTCCAGATCAGTATAATAAAGGAGTGATGTGCAATATCTCTGTGTGATGTAGTGATACCTCTTATGTGAGGTCAGCTTGAACATTAAACTTGAAATGTCCCTCATCACCCAAGTCCTTGTATGACAGAATGAGAGCTTTAGGACAACCAGTCAGTTTACACAGTCTGGTCCAAATACGGTGTATCTTACTAGGTTTTCCATCTTAGGTTGGAGAGCTGATGTGTGGGGGTGGGCAGGTCATCTTGGCTGAGCTCTCCATTCCTATTGTCTACAGCTCTTGCTCAGTGATGCTGGTTACTGAATACCACTTGAGTGGAAAGTCAAATTCTGAAATCCCATTATGCCTTTTGAGTAAGGTAAAGTCTTGTTTACCTTAAAAAGCTACTCTTTTTCTATTAGAAATCTGTAAACTTGATTCACACTTTTCATCCTCAGAAATTACACAGACCCTTATAAAATGATGCAGGAGAAAAGGAGTATGATTATATATGTAATTAGGAAGGGACATGGCTCACATTTACCTTCTCTCTAAGGCCTCTGAAAAGATCGTGGGATCTTGCCTACAAGGCAAGAGAAAGCTCTTACTGCCTTTCTTCTAGTTGGAGGAAGTAACGCCCTCCGTCTGGGAAGCTCTCATGAAGCTCCTCTGTGCCGGCCATTGGGTGAAGCATGTTATATACAATCTGTAATCTTCACCACCGCTGAAAGGGCTGCTATCCCCAGTTTACAGAAGAAACAGGCTGAAAGAGGTGCAGAAACTGGCCAAATATACACTGAGTACTGGAACCCAGAGGAAAAATATTCAACTACAAGTCCTTATGCTAAATTTAAATACTTCTAATCATCTTGCTTCTCCAGTTTTTTGCTTGATCTATATAGAAACCCTAAGATGAGCTTTAGTAATTTTAATTCCCCAACAGTTTGGTGGAATGTTAAATTTACTTAGCCTATACTGAATTGTAGACCAAAAAAAGTTGGTAATTTTCTCTGACCAAGGCTCTTCACCCAAGTCAGACTGGATCAGCTTACTCTTATGTCTTGACATCACCTAAGTTTATGGCCGTCTTCACTCATTGACTAGAACTCTTAGGGGTAGGAAAGTAACAGAAAGCCTGCATTATTTACCAACACCACTAGGAGGCTAACAACTATCCTTCCAAGACCATGCTTGGCTTGGGTAGCTAGCTAAGCATAATCACCTGTGGAGGGGGGGAACCCTTTGTAGGCATTTTGAAGTTCATCTCACCCAGGCTGAGAATCACTATTCCAAGGCACAGAAACAATATTCTCCTTGTCTCTAGAACCAGTTGTAGGTGAGCAGATGATATCACTAAACATCACTGTTCGGGCACAGCCATTGAGTCAGCTATGAGAACACTCAAACTTTTAGTGTGCTTTGCTATGTTTAGTCACAATACCAGGTACTGAAGATTCAAAGACAGAATCCTGCCCTAAAAGCTCAGGCTAGTAGGGGAGACAGGCACATAAACTTGTAATACAATATTGGACAGTTAATGGAAAAATCCAACCTGCTCTGCAGCAGATCAGAGAGAGCTATTCAGCTGTTTCAAATGTTTTTTTTTTAAATTTTTTTTAAAGATTTATTTTATTTGAGAGAGAGCACATGAGAGGGGGGAGGATCAGAGGGAGAAGCAGACTCCCCGCAGAGCAGGGAGCCCGATGCGGGACTCCATCCTGGAACTCCAGGATCATCACCTGAGCCGAAGGCAGTCGCTTAACCAACTGAGCCACCCAGGCGCCCTGTTTCAAATGTTCTTTATGACACTTTATTAGAACGTTTGTTTACATATCACCTGTCTTTCCCCATTCTGAATGTAAGCTCTACAAGGAGAGGATTCTATCATGTTCACTGCATTAACTCCTAGTTCCTCAAACAGTGGTTGGGAGAGTAGTTGCTCAATATATATTTATTGAATGAATGATGTCCCAACAAGCAATTAATGAACCACTGTCAATTTGGAGAGCCTCTAACTTCATGCCCAAGGTTCTGGTCAATACTTAGCTAAGGAGGCACAACAGTAGAGAAGAATGTGGGCTTTACACTAAGACAGACGTAGGTTTGAATAATGCTCTAATGCTCTGCCACCTGACGTCTATGTGATGTAGGGCAAGTTAACTAATTTTTCTAAGCCTTAGTTTAATTCTCTGTAAAACGCAGAAATGATTAGTACATTCCAGGGCCACTGGGAAGGTCAGAGAGAAAATAAGTGGCTAATGCTGTAGAATCAAATTGGTAGCATCCTCCTACAAGGCAACATGGGGAAAATCTAACCAAAATTTTAAAAGTACACATTCTTTGGCCCAGCATTCCACTTCTAGGAATCTGTTTTGCCATAAAACCCAGGCAAGCACAAGGATATATAGTAGAGGGGTTTTCTCAGTAGCATTGCCTATAAAAGAAAAATCTGTAAAGTTTAAAACCTCTATCAGTAAGGGGACTGCTTAAACTACATCAAAGTGTCTAACATAAGGCTTGGAATTTGACAGATACTTGATAGAAGGCAACCAGGTCTATAATAACAACACATAATAATACCGGCATGTACTGGAACTTTAGCATTTCTTCCTCACAATAACCCTGTAAGACCATACTATTCCAGATGAAACAAGACTTTAAAAGAAACAAAAATAGCTTGCACTATTATCAATGTTCAACATCCTGATTATTTTCGTATACTGTAATTTGTACAATGTCACCATTGGGGGAAAATGGGCAAAGTGTACAAGGGATCTCTCTGTATTATTTGTTAAAACTGCATGTGGAGCTACAATGATCTCAATTCTATTTTCTATTTAACAAACAAACAACTTAACCTATTCAAGGCTAGCAGCTAGAGAATATAGACCCAGGCAGGATGACTCCGGAGTTCACCTGTAACCACTGTCCCTACACATAAAAGATACGGGCTCCTTGAAGAACGTCTCAACAACTGACCTCCGCTAATTCTTTCCTTCCATTCCCTCGGCAGCTTCTCCATGCTTAACCCTCATCCCTTCCTCATCCCCAAACTTGCATGTTCATTCCTGCTTCTGCACTTTGCTCAGGCTTCTCTGTCTGCCTTGAATATCTTCATTCCACTTAGCTAAGTTCTTCAATTCCTTTTCACATCACAGATCCTTCCCTGGTCACCTCACATGACAGTGCTCTGTCCCTCTCTTCAGATTTAGCAAACATTTCCTGGGGTACCCACTAAATCAGTAATACTATGTTCACCTAATTACTTTCAGAACTACTCACATGTACCCTGAATCCCCATGTGTTCTGTAATTTGCACTAAACTGTAATCGCTCTAAATGGATGTATATAAAGTGCTTGATCCAGTGCCTGGCACATAGTAAGTACTCAATAAGTGGAAGTGCTTAAAATAGAACATAAAAAATACAAAAAAGGTTGGAGATTAGGCTTTTCCAGAGGAAGTAAGCACTTGACACATGTCAGTTAATGGGTGTCAGCAACCAGACAAACCCCTGCTCTAAATATCGTGATGCTTTTTGGATTCCCTTCCCTACTGAAGACAAGAGAAACCATAAAATCCTTTTAGTAAAAATGTTTTGTCACAGCCAAAAATATGTATTTGCAAGACTGTTAGAAGGAACAGGCTACTTCCAACATTATACAGTTTGTTTGCTGGCTCCTCCAAAAGAGAAATTGATCACTTAAGAGAATGAAATGCACTGAAAGGTTCATAAGAAAAATATTCCACCTACAGCGGAAGTTGCTAGCAGGTTTTTCTAAAGGTGGTTGTTGGCCAACCCCAGGTGTCTGAATAAAGACAATGGCATCTTGATGTTGGGTTTATACATGTACTCTTAGAAACGGCTTACCCCTCTCCATGGGGTAAAATGTGGCTTCTTAGGTCTGCAAGAATTCAGGTTGTACTCGGGCCACTTTCCGGAATTCTTTAGTGTGGGTCTTAGGGCACTGCATCTCACACCAGCTAATGGGAACCATCTGGACACCTGGAAGGGAAGAGCTGATGTTGGAACTGGGACCCCAAATGTTTACCTAAGACTCTTCCCTTTCAAGGCTGGCTTTGAACTGAAGTATCACCAGACAACCTAGTGAACCTCACCTCATACAGAAAAAGCCTTGTTTATTCCACTGATTTATACAGTGAGTCTCCCATTACAATTATATAAGGAGAATCATTCTAATCTCAGGAGTAAGTACTGACACTCATATTGCTGCCTAGATAATTAAAAAAACAAGGGTAACGAGAAAAACAGTGGATTAAATCCCAAACCACAGCTCCCAGGGACAAATAAGCATGTGGACGCATGGACCTACTCACCCGATTCACTGTGGGCCACCACCACCCCAAGTTCATTCTCAGCAGTGGTCAGGAGGTAGTTGGACTGTGCATCACCCAGGGAGATCTAGTCACACAACACTGGTAAAGGAAAATGATGGGTGATAAGTCTTCCCTCCCATAGCCACTTGAGTTGTTTTCTACTTGTATTTTTTTTTTAAGATTTTATTTACTTATTCAAGAGAGAGAGAATGAAAGAGAGAGAGCACGAGAGGGAGGAGGGTCAGAGGGAGAAGCAGACTCCCCGCTGAGCAGGGAGCCCGATGTGGGACTCGATCCCAGGACTCCAGGATCATGACCTGAGCCGAAGGCAGTCACTTAACCAACTGAGCCACCCCAGGCACCCTCTTTTCTTTTTTTTTTTTTAAGATTTTATTTATTTGACAGAGAGAGTGAGAGAACACAAGCAGAGGGAACAGTAGAAGGAGAGGGAGAAGCAGGCTTCCCATGGAGCAGGAAGCCCGATGTGGGGCTTGATCCCAGGACCCTGGAATCACGACCTGAGCTGAAAGCAGACGCTTAACCATCTGGGCCACCCAGGCGCCCCTCTATTTCTTATTTTGACAAAGGACCACAAGACTGCTGGGAATAAAGGATACCACTTTGGCCAAGACAATGTCACCTGGGCGGAAACTCTTATAAATCTCAACCTGCAAAAAAAAAAGAACAGGATTGTTAAGTGAAAGCTCTAAATCAGATCTACATGAAACTATTACCCCTCTGGTAGAAGCAGTCTACTTTTTAACCCACAGGGTGGAAGTCATCATTAATCAAGCCAATTAACAACTTCTACTGCTTTTACAGCATCATCATATAAACAATTTTTAATTCAGTAACCTGATCAGGAATCTGACTTGGACAAAAGTTACTACAGTTGGCTCTGAAAGGATCCAGAGTAAATCTGAGGGATCAACAAAAATAAACATCTGGTTTCAAAGGCAAGGAGTAAACTAACCCCCTTCTGGTCAACAGAGCAAACAAAAATCCTAGGGAGAGGAAAAGGCCAGTGAGGAGAATGCCCCACTTTCCAGTAGGAAACACCTTAAAATTCCTTGGATCTTTGGATCTACATTCCCACAGATGTTTGAAATTCACTGGAATAATTTAAAAGGATTGAGATTCCTAAAGTCATAAGGAAAAAAAGAAAAAGGACCAACCAACAACCTTGTCTTTTTCAGTAGCTCGGACATCTTCCTTGCTATAAAAAAGAATTAACGGAAAGATTAATTATCGGTGGGAAAGAATTATTCTGCAGAATCATAGTAGACAAAGAGCTATAAGAGTAGAGATAACAAGTCATAATTGGGACCCAAATGCCACGCACAGAAGTGGGGTAGAGAAGCATTCCAAGTCCTCATCCGGAGGAGAAAACCACATTCCCATTCTTGGGTCACACACAGCAGCAGTATCAATACCTCTGACTAGTGAAAAGCAGATCAGATTTGGCAGGAAAAAATAAGGAACTTTGCTGCCTTAGGAGAGCTTGAACAGAAGCACTATAGAACCACATGGAACCCTGAGGGTGGAAAGGGCCTCAGAAGTTAAATTATCTAGCTCACAAGAATTGTTTGTCCCTTCTCAAAGAACCTACAGGAAAAAAAAATACCATTTCACCCACTAACCATTTTTAAAAATATATTTTTAAGATTTATTTATTTACCTATCTTACCGAGACAGAGGGAAAGAAGAGACCACACACACGCATGTGAGTGGGGGGAGGACACACTCTATTTTACAGAGGGAGGGAATCTCAAGCAGACTCTCTGCTGAGCACAGAGCCCAACATAGGCTCAATCTCATGACCCATGAGATCATGGCCTGAGTTGAAATGGCAAATCGGTTGCTCAACCAACTGAGCCTCCCAGGCACCCCTAAGACTTTATTTTTAAGTAATCTCTATACCCAAAGTGGGGCTTGAACTCACAACCCCAAGATCAAGACTGGTGCATGCTTTACTGACTAAGCCGGGCAGGTACCCCTCACCCACTAACCTTTTTAATATCTTAAAATCCTTGGGTTTAAACTATATTAAAGAAAGGAAGATGCTTCCTAAAATGTCTTCTACTTTGTTTCATATGAATCATCCTGCATCACTAGTCTCCAGCTTAGCTCAATTCTTTTCATTTTATTTTAAAGCCCAATCTTGTCAATATTTTCCTTTTGTCCTAGCTCATACATTTTAACATTTCCTTTGGACACTACCTGGACAGAATCAAAACACTAAGAGGAGAGCCAGAGAGGCAGGTATAGGAACTGTAATTGTTCCTAAAAATTCCAGTCCCCTGTTCTATCCTAATCTCATTCCAGGTGCTGAGGCAAAGGCAAAGACGTGAACACTGCTTACCGGATAGTTCCTCGAAAAGAGTTCTTAAGTGGTGTGGACCCTACATATAGGATGTGCACTTTGGCAAAGCGCGAATTGATGCTAGAGACCTGGATAACAGAGAAAAGATCAGCATTAGAGTAGTAGCAGTTGTCAGCTCAAGGAGGAGGCAAGAAAGTAGGAATTACCAGGATTTTAGTCCAAGCAACCCTACTAATTATAGGATTTAAGACAAGTTAACTCCTACTTAACTCTGTATAAATGATATATATAAAGTGGAATGACAGTCACTCTGGCCACCTAATAAAGTTACTGTGGGCATCCAATGAAATAATATGGAATAGATCTTGAAAAATACAGAAGCCTAACATAAAAGACACAGGGCATCACAGCAAATCTGGACCTTTAACAGATCTTGCTACGAGCCCTGTAGAGTGGACAGAATTTAAGTGTACACCTCAGCTACTGCATAATATTTGGATCACTGCCTCTTCAGTTATTTTGAGAATAACACATAGATTTTTTGCTGGAACAATTTATAAAGAGAGCAACTAAGAGCTACAAGTTAATTTAACTGGCAGAAGGTGGGGATGGGCAGGAAGTAAGGATGTATTACATTTATTGATCCGTACAGCCTTAATTTGTACTTCCCCTGAAACACCCTAAAAGATGAAATTTAACAGGAATGCTATAAAATAAGGTCTTTTGCTTCTCTGCAGAATAAGATCTCAGCTTCTAGATGTTAAAAAATAGACCTCCTTATTACCCTTTGACATCCCTGTTTCCCCAACTGCATACGCAGAGACTCAGCTCAGTGAAAGAACTATGTGTGCCTGAACCTGGCTGCCTGGATCACTATCCCAGAACTTTCCAGGCCAGCACAGTCCAGTAACACTGTGATGACAGAAATGTTCTGTGCTGGCCAACAGGGCAGCTCCTAACTGTATGTGAGCACTTGAAATGTAGCTAGTGGGACTGAAGAAATGAACTTTGAATTTTGTTTAATTTTAATTCAATTAAATGGCCACATATGGCAAGTGGCTGCCACATTATTAGACAGTGCAGTTCCACAGTGATCATGATTTCACCACTGAACAAGTGTCCTAAGCAGGGAGGTTAAGACCAACTTACCTTACAGGTTACAATAGCCCCCACATCTGGTAGTAATTGGGACTCTGTTTCTCTCATGACAGAAATGACAGGAAGCTATAGAGAAAACAATAAAATGTGAGATCCTGACTAAGCCTTGCATAAAGGTAATCTGTGGCTTAAGAGTAATGTAGGAATGCTTTGGTCCACAGCTGAGATCACAAGGATGGGTGGACTATAGACTCATATGTGCCCAGAGCAGACAGCCTTAGAAATTTTAGGCAATAGGAAGGTCAAGGGATTCTTCAAGGGAAGAATGCTACTAGAAGACATAATCTAATCATTTCAGATCAGTTCTAACAAGGTTTTTGGTGATTTTCTTGGGTTTCTTGGTATATAACCATTGTCTATCATCATGGATAACTTGACTCCTCCAAAGTTATACTTCCCTCTGTTTCTCACTTTATTGTACTGGCTAGAATTTCCAAATAAATGTTCTATAATAATGGCCATATTTGATTTCTTCTATTTTAAAGGAATACTTGTAGTTTTCTCTTTGAGCATGGTATTGGTTGTTGGTGTAAGACAGATATCTTTTTTTAAAGATTTTAGAGATAGAGCACGTGCATGAGCAAATGGGGAGAGGGGCAGAGGGAGAGAGAATCCCAAGCAGACTCCCCACTGAGTGGGGGTGGGGGAGCACTGACACGGGGCTCGATCCCAGGATCCTGAGATCATGACTCGAGCTGAAATCCAGAGTCGGATGCTCAACTAAGCCACCCAGGCACCCCAAGACAGATATTTTGAGCCTCATCTTTTATTTACCTCTCCCTCACTTACTATGCTTCAGTTCCCCAGCCTTCTTTCAGTTTCACTAATTCATTAAACATCTTCCCATCTCAGAATTTGTGTTCAACCTGTTCTTTCTGTCAGGACTGTGCTCTCCCCACCTACCCAATTTTTATTTATCCTTTAGATTAAGGTTAAATGTCACTTCTCCTGACTATGGTGGGTTTGTCTTTTACATGTTCTCATGGTAACCTGTAATATTCTTTCAACATAGTCATCCCATTTGTAGCCATGAACTAATTTGAGCATTTACTTGTTTACAATTTATGTCTGTGTCCCTTGATAACAGAAACCATGTGTATTTGGCTTGTTACCATATCTCTAGAGGTCAGCATTGCACCTAGCACATAAAAATGCTCAATAAATATTTCTATGAGGGGCGCCTGGGTGGCTCAGTCGGTTAAGTGTCTGCCTTCGGCTCGGCTCATGATCCCAGAGTCCTGGGATCGAGCCCTGCATCGGGCTCCCTGCTCAGCGGGAAGCCTTCTTCTCCCTCTCGCACTCCCCCTGCTTGTGTTCCCTCTCTCACTGTGTCTCTGTCAAATAAATAAATAAAATCTTTAAAAAAATAAAATACATAAATATTTCTATGAAATGAATAAACTTAGATATGTTAAAGACATTCCCAAAATTGATTGAATAAAAAGTCTCTCATTTTACATATGAGGACAAAACTAAAACCAGAGAGATCAAGTTTCTTTCTTTTTTTTAAAGATTTTATTTATTTATTTGACAGAGAGCACAAGTAGGCAGAGTGGCAGGCAGAGGGAGAGGGAGAAGCAGGCTCCCCGCTGAGCAGGGAGCCGGACGCGGGACTCGATCCCAGGACCCTAGGATCATGACCTGAGCTGAAGGCAGCCACTTACCGGACTGAGCCACCCAGGCGCCCCCCAAGAGATCAAGTTTCTAACCTAAAGCAGAAACAAGGTCTAGTTAGCCAGTACCTAAATGTTCTAATTCTGAATCCTCTTTCTACTATGCTCCCTGTCTTTAAGCTGCTCCTTCCAAGACTCTTTATCTGATCCTGGGCTAATCCTGGATCAGCCTTTGGAACTAGAGAGAACAGTGTTAGGCATTCAACAAACATTTACTGAGCATAGGCCCTTGTGCTTGGCACTAAAGGTATGGTGGGAAGGTTTGCTTCACATGGAACTTAGAGTCTAGTAAGGGAAGAGTCTAGGGGGAACATGTAACTGAATGTTTAACTGTATGCAAAGATGAGCGCGCGGAAAGAAAGAAATTTAGTTCTTTGTGAGAGTTTAACAAAACAAACAAAAAATAAAAGCTCACAAAACTCCTTTCCTTGACTAGTGGGTCTAGCATGGCTTCTCTCATAAAGTGATACTAGAAAGGCTATCTGAAAGATAGGTAGGAATTAAACAGGCTAAGGAGATGAGCGTGTTACAAATAGATGCCGTGTGTACAAAGGCTCCGTGGCAGGAGAGAGCTTACCCCACTAGCGACAGTGAAAGAATCCTATATGACTAGACTGCAGAGTGAGGTGGGAATGGCGGAGCAAGATGAAACCGGAGAGGTGGGCGACATTTGGACAAGATTCAGCTCACTGCAGGGCTGAGTCCGCCTCTGCTCGTCCCCTAACTTCCTTCCCCGAGTGTCCGCAATATAATGAAGCGAGAGCAACACATCTGGTCTGTGGTGGCTAAGTGCCCAGCAGTGGAGACCTCAGCTGGAAGAAACTCGGAGACCAGCTGTTCTGCTGAGGCACTAAAGACGCGTCCGTAGTGCCCCTGCCTAATGACCGCGAAATCAAAACCAGCCTAAAAAAAAGGAAGAGAAGGAGGAAATGGGAAGCTGTCCCTTTACCGCGCCGTTCTCGCTGCTCTTCGTCAGGCAGCCAGCAAGCGACGAAAAGATGTAGCCGTGTCGGGTGTAAGTGCCGCTGCCCGGGCTGCCCTCCTCCAAGTTACACAGACGTTCGCCTGAAGAAAAACGCTGCATTAGTCACGGGTCCCCATAAGGTGTTGGCCATCCAGCCTTCCTGCCTCTGTCCCACCCAGAATTCGCTATGGGCCCCGCACACTTACCCGGAATACAGTACCTCACGGGTGGCGCCATGACTGCCACTGGAGGGAAACGAAGTCGACTTCTCATTGGCCGAAGTTCAGGAGCAGTTTCACAGTAAGAAACGCGCCAATTGGTGTGATTTATCACGTGATCGTCGGGAGCTCCTTCTCCGGGAAACTTTATTTCCCAGGTTGCCCCGGGACCAGTCCGGGGGCGGGGCTCCAGACCGCCTGCGCGTGCGCCTGTGGTCCAGGATGGCCTGGCGGCGGGTCCCAGTCTGCGGTCTGGTGCTGTGGGTGGCGGGCGATGGTTGGTTGGACTGAGACGGGCCCGGCCGGGTTGCGGAGCTGGAGGGGGTGGCAGTGAGCGGCGGCGGAGGCTGTGGGGTTCCATTTGGCTGACTGGGGAGTCGGCAGGCGGCAGGTAAGAGCGGAGCCGCGGCCTTTGCTCCCAGTGCTGCCCTTTTTTCTAGGGTCGGGCCCTGTTCGGGGCCTTTTCGTGAGCCCGGGTTCCTGTTCTCTTCTTGCCCCGCCCTGCACGGCAGTGCCCTGCACAAGTCTTGGGGAGTGCCCCTTCGGGCAGCGTAACGCGCGGAGCTGGAAGGAGGTCAGCCAACCCAACTTGCCCATTTTACAGATTTGGAAACTCACATCCAGAGACAGGATTTGACTTGTCCAGTGGCTCAAAGATAGTTCAAGGTAGAGCCCAAACGGGAACCCAAGTTTTTTTTTTGTTTTGTTTTGTTTTTTACTTCCAGTCCATCGCACTTTGACTACGCCACCCCATTCAGGAATAAAGCCTGTTCCCGGTTTTTATTGACTGCAGCTTCAGATCTTGCAGTCGGATCCTCTCAAAAGGATCTCAGGTCGTGTGGGCCCATCCTTAACTTTTTCTCTTTCAAACATGTTAGTCCGGAAGGGAAGTCTGCACGAGTAGAATGCTGCTCTTACTGATGACTGACAACTACTGCTTAACACAGCAAACATCCTGAGAGCAGCATCTTTGTCCAGATGAGATTTGCTATGACTTTCATCTCAGTTTCCCTTGCCTTCTGGTGGCTTTGGAATATGTCCCTCCCTGTGCAAACCCTCTAGCCCCCACCAATCCAGTTTCCCCTTGGAAAACAGATGGTGACTTAGAGCCTTGGAAAGAGGGGAGTGCTGTGGCCATCAATCCCCTCTAATCTGGTGGCAGACGGCACTATGGCCTGTGGTTGCTGCTGAGGGATCAGAGTACTAAAGGCTTGTGCTTGGGGTGATAGTGAAGCTCTGCTTTGCTCTGTTTCCTTCCGTGTTCACTCTGATTCTCCACCCCCCACCACAACACACACACACAATTTTTTTCAATTCTGGTTTAGCTCAATTTCCTGAGAAATGAGGAACTTCGTATGTTCAAGTGTGGTCCCATGGACCACAGTATCTCTTCCCTGGCATCCCCATACCCTCTAAACCCCACTAGCTAAAATGAGTTGGGAGGGAGTTGGCTTCAAACTCTTCACTCAAATCTGATCTGCATCTACAAGCTTTCAGTTTACATGTTTGGGTTGATTTCTGGCTGGACATATTTTCTAAAATCCTTTCTAGCTCTTAAGTGCTATGATTCTAACAATGGTTTCTATTTCTTTTTACTGACCGTGAAGAATGATAGCATCAGATACTTTTTTAGTGTTACCACATTGGCAGGAGTGCACTTGCTATTATTTGTAGCACAGATAGACGTCTGACCAGCCTCACCACTTCTGCATCCTCCATTCTTTCAACAAGCAATTATTGAGCCCTTCTATGAGCCAGTTTATTGTGCTAGGCATTTTGTAAACTATTCATTTATACCTTAACCAATTGTATATATAGAACAATAAAGGGTTAGAGCTGGAAAGGACCTTAGCATTTAACCCTACCCTGTCACTGAATGAGGACACAAGGAGATTGAGTTCCAGCAGGGTTGGGTGATTTGCCCAAGGTCACAGAGCTACTTAAGGGCAGTATGGAGCCCTAAGTAGTCAAGTTATGGGGTAGATGAGAGTAAGTCTAGTCCTTGAGGCAGGCATTTCCTATAGAGCTCAGGAATACCAGAGGTGGTTGAGGACAGTCTGAAAGGTGGAGAATCGGAAAAGGAATGTTTCTGGGTTTTTTGTAGACAGGAGAGATGGCATATAATTTGTGTTCATTAACAGGTGGGGAAGGCATCTTATTTGCAAGCTGTTGCTGTAAAGAGTATTTTAGCAAATAGGAAACTCTCCATTAGCCACAGTAAGGGAATGAACAGTGATGTGGACAATCTGAGTCACTTGGATTTGTTGTGGGGTAAAATGTTCCTGTCTTACATTTGACTACAGCCATGCACTATTTTGAAAATTCATGCTTCAAGCCAAATCATGGTTCCAAGCAACAGGACTCCAACTCAAGAGGAAGTAGGAAGGATCACTTTTTCCTTTCTTTCGTTTCAACACTGCTTCTTAAATCTCTTAGCTCCTAGGAGTGATGGGAATGGCCAGTTTCTTTATTCTGATGCACCGTAGGTCCTTACTGAATTGTCTTTCTTCTCTTTGCTGGTCTTGTCTCCCGGATTCCTTTTTGCCTTAGGTCATTACAGGACTTGTGGAAGGAGGTAATGAAGTGGTTTTTTTTTGTTGTTGTTGTTTTGAAAGGCCTCTAGTGATTAGCCAGTGTGCAAGGAGAGTACCTTGCTCCAGTTACTGAACTGAAACCAACACTCCAGTGGAGCAGCCTCCTCCAGTTTCTGTTGGGTTTTGAGCTGCCTGTTAAATAAGTCAGTGGAGTTGCTGAGGACAGAGTAGCCCTAGGGGAAAATCAGATAATTTCTTTTCTGGTAAGGGCTTTAAGCTGCAGAATTGAGGAGACTAACGTTGAAGGAGCCCATGACTTCTGTGCTGGATGTTGCCTGGGCAGCTGACCTGCCATGGCTATTGAGTGAAGTAGAAATCACATAGAGGAGATGAAGGTACTTGCAGGGTGGGAAGGCTGGTTGGGAAGCTTGGGGCCAAGGGCAGCAGCTGCAGAGAAGACTCATGAGTGTCCAGCTAGAACTGGGCAGGGGAGATTCATCACAGAGGATAGGCTCTGTGCTCTTCATGAACCACAGCATGAAGGCCCCTCTCCCACTGCCAGGGTCTCCTGCCGGTGGTGTTATTCTGCTGTGAACAACTGAAATTGTCTTGACTTTTGTATCCTTGGGGTGGGGCTGGGACTGGAATTGGAGACAAAGCATCTTATGTCATGCAGGATAGCTGAGGTGTCCTGACAGAAGGCAGGGACTCTCATGCTACCAGGTTGGGTCTGGTGGCCTGTAACATCAGCTCAGAGAAAGTAGGAAAGATGAATATCTTTTGCAGAGATTCAGCACCAGGGCAGATCTAGATGTAGGATCCACATGCTACGCACTTACTCCCCCACTGGCCATTCCTTGGTGAAGAACAATTGTCAGGAAGTAGGTCGATGGGGTGCAGCAGGCAGGATACCCCTGGAGTCCTCTGCTATGATGGCCATGTCCACAGAGGCTTGGCGGCAGCTTTGTGCACATCAGCTGTGCTCCACCCAGGGGTCTGTCTACACAGGCAACTCTAGAGACCCTGCCTTGGCTTGGAGCAGCCTGCCTCTCCCTCAGCCCTTTACTGTGGCCCTTCGCTCTAGGCGTGCCTTATCTTGGATTTGCAGTGCACCCAAGTAGTGTGATGTAAGTAGGGTTTCTGCAGGCTCAGAGCCTCCGGCCCCTACCCCGTGTGATCTGGTTGGGACACCGGCACCAGCCATTCCGCAGAGAAGTGAAGTGACCTCCCTACTTCCCACAGCTGGTGGCTGGCCCAGGTGGGCGTCGTCCTAGGTCTTCGCCTCCTCCTCCCTGGTGGGCTAGGGAGGGCTGGGACTGGGCTGGCTCCTCCCAATGGTGTGCTCTCCTAGGAGCCATGCGGGGCCCGCGGAACCTGCTGCTGGGGCCCGCCCGCCTCTGCCTGCGCCTGCTTCTGCTCCTGGGCTCCAGGCGCCGCCGCCCGCCTCTGCTTCGGGGCCTGGTACAGCGCTGGCGCTACAGCAAGGTCTGCCTGCGCTCCCTGCTCTACAACTCCTTTGGGGGCAGTGACACCGCTGTCGATGCTGCCTTTGAGCCTATCTACTGGCTGGTGGACAACGTGATCCGCTGGTGTGGGGTGGTGAGTGATGCCCAGGGATGTTTTGGGCTAGCAGAAGGACATGTGTCTGGTGGACCCACATTGGGTTTGGGACCCACACCAGCCCCCTACCCCAGGGAAATTCCTGAGTCTGCTCTTGGTGTTGGCAAACTCTCACTGTGTCTCCCCGACCTCACTGGTGTTGGCAGGTGTTCGTGGTGCTGGTGATTGTGCTGACCAGCTCCATCGTGGCCATCGCCTACCTGTGTGTCCTGCCTCTCATCCTCCGAACGTACTCAGTGCCACGGCTTTGCTGGCACTTCTTCTACAGCCACTGGAATCTGATCCTTATCGTCTTCCATTACTACCAGGCCATCACCACTCCACCTGGATACCCACCCCAGGTGGGTCCCCATGGGCATGTGGGAGGCATAGAGCTGCCGGCTGTGGGAGCAGCCCCAGGGGTGGGGAGGGAGAGTGCCTTGGTATCTTCTGAGGTACAAAACTGGGCTGTCACAGTTGTCCTGATGCTTTTCTCCCTTTGCACAGGGCAGGAATGATATCGCAACAGTCTCCATCTGTAAGAAGTGCATTTACCCCAAGCCAGCCCGAACACACCACTGCAGCATCTGCAATAGGTGGGTCTTGGCTTTGCTCGCTGTGAACCCCAGCTATGGCCTTTTTGCTGAAACCCTAGGGCAAAATTTAGACCTAAAGTTTGAGAAGACGTTCATGAAACGCCCGTCATATACCAGGCAGCATGCCCTCACATCGTGACACCTGGTCCTCAGGATGGTCCTGGGCTAGGCATTGTCACCACTTATGGACACTGAGCTTCAGAGACGAGTTAACCTTGTCAAAGATCATGTAGCCAATGAAGCAGGGTTTGAAGCAAGGCCTGTCTTCAAAGTCTGTGCCCTTTCCACCTCAGCAGGATGCTGGGCCTTGTAGGAAAGGATGAGCACTGACCTCTCAAGAACCTTGGCCACCGTAACAGAGCCTGTGTCCCTCCCTCACAGGTGTGTGCTGAAGATGGATCATCACTGCCGTATCCTTTTATGATCTCTTCTGCCTGAGGCCTTTCTTTAGCTCCAGAGCCCTGCACTGGGTTGTGGTGCCACAACCAAGGCATCATCCCTCCTAGGACACTGGGCTTATGAAAAGTTAGTAGAAGAGGAGTGGAGGGGACTGGCCATCTCCGGGGTGGGCGGTGGGGGGTGGGGGGAAGCCGGAGACTTATAAGCTCTCTATGGGACAGATCTTGGAGCAGGGCATCTATTCTAACAGTTCTTTCTTTTGTAGACTGTCATGCTAACATCTGTGGGGTGTTAAGATATGTTTAGGCTTCATGTTGTCCACTGGGTGTGCCAGATAGAACCATTGGTCCCCTTCTGCTGTCCCATACAGGTGGCTGGTTAACCCCAGTTAGGTTGAAGTATTGGCAGATTCATTTTGCTGAAGGATTTCAGTTTTCACAACTTCCCAGTGGGACTAGTGAAGGCTCTGAAAAGCTTTAACCTCTGGAAACAGTCCCATATTTTCCTGCCTTTGAGGAATAGTTCTTGGTGACTGGAAGCGCTGTGTTTGGGTGATGCCATCATGAAGCAGGGATGAACCAGAGAGACCAGAAGCTCTGTTTGATCTTGTCCTTAATCCTTCCCCCACCAGCCTGGCTAAACAACTGTGTGGGCCACTATAACCATCGGTACTTCTTCTCTTTCTGCTTTTTCATGACTTTGGGCTGTGTCTACTGCAGCTACGGAAGTTGGGACCTTTTCCGGGAAGCTTATGCTGCCATCGAGGTGAGCCCATAGTTAGGAGCAGGACAGCTCAGTAGAATTGTGGGGCATGGAATCTGTCCCTAAGAAGTGGGGCTGGTAGCACCCCTGCCCTAGAGGCCTGAGAGTATAACCAGTACTGTTTTCCATCCCCTTAGAAAATGAAACAGCTCGACAAGAACAAACTACAGGCGGTTGCCAACCAGGTGGGCCGTCCCCACCCCACTGCCTCCTGCTGCTCAGGCCAGGGGGATGGGGTTGCTGAGGCAGCAGGGGCCCACCTGCTAGTGGAGTTGTAGAGACTGGCTGAGGGGCCTCTCAAGACTGGATCAGGGGTGTTCTGGGAAGCTATCTGCTGACCGAGTGGCTTGGGGTAAACTGAAGTCCCTGGTTTGTGACAGTTTTGGGCTCTCTACCCCATTATCACCTTCTTTGGGCTGAGCAAGGGCTCTGCCTTGGTGATGGCCTGAGCAGCAAGGAGTCTGTGTTAGTGTGTGTAATGGGGTTCCAGGGGACAGAGATCAGGCTGGGCCAGTCTGATCACCCTTTGGTCCTGATCTTTCTGCGTCCATTGTCAGGATCGTCCCTTCTCCCGGGCCTTTTAGGACCCCTTACTGAGAGGTTCTGGGCTCACGACTATACCACTTATCTCTGCTGCCCTTTCAGCCCTTAATCGGAGCTCAGTTCTCCCTGCTTGTGCTTGTATTCTGGGTGTGGGCCTCCTCTCTTGAGGATTGCAGCCACATAGCAAGGGAGTTATCCCTGGGAAGTGTAGTGGCTTCCCCTGGAGCCCCATTTGTGTTGTCAAATCTGGAGGCCCAGGGTCGGCTCCTCCTGTGCTTTGCCATCCTGTCCAGACCCGCTCTGCCCAGTGTGTGTCCACATGGTGATGCCGCCGGGCCTGGCCCACCCATCTGGCTGCCACCCTGACTCCTCTGTGGCTTAACTCCCTACTTTCTCACCCTGGGCTTTGGTCCCTTCCCTGCCTATAGGTGCTGGGGGCTGTGGTGGAGACCAACAGAGCAAATGAACTCCCTTGCTCTTCTTTCTCTAGACTTATCACCAGACCCCACCACCCACCTTCTCCTTCCGAGAAAGGGTGACTCACAAGAGTCTTGTCTACCTCTGGTTCCTGTGCAGGTACTGAACATTCATTTTTGACACTTTAATGGGGGGCAGCTTTGGGAAAACAATTCCAGTGCCCATGTGTAGGTAGGGACCCAGTCGTCATCTACCACTCTTCTTAGTGTGACTTAGCTTGGCAGAGAGTTGGTGCTTCATTTTCTTCAGTGTTCTGGGGCAGGGAGTGCTAAGGATGCTAGCACTGAGTGTTCTGTGCCAAGGTAAGTTAAACTCCTGCCTCAGGGTAGGGCAGTGCAATTTCCAGATGAGAATTGAAGAGGAGAGGGTGAGGTGAGTTGCTGTGTGATCATAGCTGGGAACGGGAGAGCTACAGTTGGAACTGTGTGCCTCCTGTTCTAAACCTGGTGCTTTCTCTCCTGTTTCCTAAGCATGGGGATTTTAGAAGATTTGGACCATTTTTATTAGCAATGCAGACTTGTTTCCCCACCCTTCTTTCCAAGTGTCAATGCTTCTTCGTTGGTGTTTCTTATAGATGTACTGAAGCAACAACTCACCTAGGATGTAGGCTGGGAGATAAGACTTAGGCAGAGAGGTCTCTAGTGGATCATTGCTCAGCTCAGTTTCAGATTCAGACCTACTTGTAGCCGCCCCCTCCCCTAAGCTCGCCACCAATCTTGGCCCCTCTTTTCTTAGTTCCGTAGCACTTGCCTTGGGTGCCCTAACTGTATGGCATGCTGTTCTCATCAGTCGAGGTGAGACTAGTATCGAAAGGCACATCAACAAGAAGGAGAGACGTCGGCTGCAGGCCAAGGGCAGAGTGAGTAGGGCTGAGGGCTTGGGGTGGAGGGTAACTGAACCTGCTGTCCTGAAAACAGAAGCCATGGTCAGGGCCAATAGGCATCATAAAAGGTCAGAACTTGCCTAGCTGAGCCTTAGCTTAGCCAGTTTAGGCTCTAAAATTAGGAGGGGATTAAGTGAAAAGGGGTTTGTAGAAACCTGTGTTTTTCTTGGCTCTAGGTTTTTAGGAATCATTACAACTACGGCTGCTTGGACAACTGGAAGGTATTCCTGGGTGTGGACACAGGAAGGTAAAGTAAAACATCTAGACCAGTGCCATCCAGTAGAACTCTTTGTGATAAGAGAAGTTTTCTGTACCTATGCCATTTAAGACATTAGCCACTAGCCACATATGGTTGAACACTTGAAACATGGCTAATGCACCCATAAATTGTATTTTTAATTTAATTTTCACTTAATTTAAATAGACACATGTGGCTAGTGGCTACCACTGCAGATCTAGACTCTGGGAGTAGAGACCACTGTTCATTTGAGCCAAAGGGGCTTACGGCCAAAACTGTGTGGTATACATGCATATGAGGCTTACAGATGACCACAACAGAACCCTGAGAGCTGTTGTCAAGAAGGGACCTCTAGGGAGGACATAGTGACCACCAACCTCCTCCCATTTGTATGGCAGTGTCTGGAGTTCAAGCCAGCAACATGTAGGATCGCAGTAATCTATTTGTAACAGAAGTCCTAAGACAAAAAAATGAAGTTCGCTCCCTGAGCCCAAGAGACAAGGGTAAACCACTTTTCAAATTGCAATTCCCAAGACAGTAATAATCAGGTGACCAGAAGTACCTGCCCTCTTCCCTTTCCCGTCCTCATTACAGTCCTGCCTGTCACTGCCTGCAGTGGCCCCTTAGAAGTTTAGCTTGAAACCTCTAAAGGCCCTCGAGGCACCAGAGGGCATACTGCACAAATTAGAACTTTTGTTACCTTTGGGGTTAATGCCAAGGTGGCTTCAGGATACTTTGAATCCTTGCTGAGGACTGAGGATCGGGAAGACCAGGAACTCTTGGAACTCAAGACATTCTATCTTCTCTTGTAGGCACTGGCTTACTCGGGTGCTGTTACCTTCCAGTCATCTGCCCCATGGGAATGGAATGAGCTGGGACCCCCCTCCCTGGGTGACTGCTCACTCAGCCTCTGTGATGGCAGTGTGAGCTGGATTGTGTCAGCCATAGCTTGAGCACCACTCTGCTTCCTGCATTGTCTCAAGGGCCTCCAAGGATAGCTTCTTGGAATCCTTGGGCAAAAAGAGTCAGTGGGCCTGCCTTCGAGTACCATGCAGGGACAACTCAAGGACCAATCTCCTGGCTACTGCAGAAACAAGGCATGATGTGGAAAAATCCTAGGACTGACGGACCTTTACTCAGCTCAGGCAAACTGAAGTTCCAGCCCCACACTGGAGATTAGGCAGCTAGCAACCTTGCCAGGTGCTGACCCCAACCTCCTCCAGGTTCCAGCACTGGGGTTGGCCACCACCTCTTCCACTTGCTATCTGAGAAAACACCTGAACAGTAGAATGGAGATTCTGGCTTCTCAACAGGGCAAGACACCAGTCCTACTGCTGAGGTCACTGCCACTTCTCACATGCTGCTGAAGGTGAAAAATAAAGGTATTTGATTTTTAAAGATATGTAGCTTCTCTTTGCTTTTACTAGAGGGTGAGGAAGGGAGAAGTCAGGGTCAAGGCCTAGTGTTTTGGTCATGCTTCCTGTGCTCTACTTGATGGGGTGGATGCCCCAAAGAATTGTTAGTGTTCCTCTAAGCGTATGCAGTGGTGCTCTAGTTAGGTGCCACAGAGACGTAAGTGGAAAGGGGGAAATACCTGACCGCCCCATTACCAAAAGAAATCTTTATTCTGTAGTAGGTACACACACATCCATCATTCTGGTCCTCAAAGCCACATTCATCTGCATTCGCCTCTCAGCAGCATATCTCCCTTTTTCTGACAAATGGAAGAGCCCCAAGACCAAAATCTTTCTTCAAACACAAGTGGTCTCACACTCAGTTACTTCACAAAGCCATTAGAAGTCAGGATTCCTATGTTATAGAGCCATGCAACAGTGGCCCAGGGAGAGGCAATCAGAGGCCAGTGGTCTCCCTGCCTTGGGCAAGATGGCTTGATAGTTAGTAATTCCAGGTTAGATTGTCTGTAGAACAGCCTAGTCCAGGACTGAGGGCTCAGCTGCCAGGGCTCCCCAGCAGAAACCTGTAGGCAAAAAGAATGTTGGCAGCATCAGCGATGAGGCTCATTTCAAACCCATCTTGCCCATGACCTAGAAACTCACCATTCTCCCCTGGCTGATACTGCCTCCTTGCGTACCAGTCTCTTCTTGTCATCCAGGGGCTTGGCTAAAGCTCGGATCACCTGTGGTTTGTACGGCAGCAGCTGTGGAGTTAGAAGAGTCACGGCCTTGCTCAACCAAAGCAACTGAAAGGGCTGCTTCTCTGACTCTACGACTAATGTTCTTCCTATTCTCCTTTAGTGATTCCAGAGAATGCTCTGTGGCAGGATGGCTGTTCTATCAGGCAAATCCCTGCCTGTGTATACTCAATCACACAGCAGGGTGGCCAGTCCCACTTGATTAAGGCAAAAAGGTACTTCTCTGGCTCTTCTAAGAAGGGTCCAGGCCAGAGAGGACTATCTCAGGTACTCACCACAGGGGTGGGCAGACGAGTAAGAGCGTGCATACACTGCAGTGCAGCAATCCGGACAGCCTGGAACACAACCATAGAGGGTGACGGGAGACCCATGAAGGAGAGACATAGGCGCCAAAGAGTTGTGGGGGCTTAACGCACCATGGAAGGGCTAGAGCTGAGGTTCAGAAACTTGGTGACGAGGGTGTCCACGTGAAGACTCATGACCTGGGGGGCTTCCAATAGAAGAGGCTGAAGGCAGCTGAGGGTGGAGAGCTGTACTACACAGTCAGAGCAGGACAGGGCTTCCAGCAGCAAGGAAAGCAGCTAAGGGGCCACAGAGAAGGCGGGCACGATCACGTATGTGATGAGCCTGCTTTCCCTCCACCCCACCATGCCCTGGCTGGGGTCAGTGGCTTAGTCCCTGTTTGAGGCTCTGACTGCAGGGCTTACCGTGGGCAACTCTGGCAAGAGCACAGGCTTAGGCAGCCTATTAAGGACATGAGACAGGCCCTTTAGGTAATTTGGCTTCACATCTGTAAAAACATGGAAAAGCTTAGGGAGAAACTGGTCTCAGACATAGAGCTTGGGAATTCAACTCCAATCTCTATGAAGCTGGGACATCAGCCTAGAAAAAGGTTGGAAAAAAAACCCCCAAAACCCTCACACACAGAAAAGGCAAGATAGGCTCATCAAAGGAAAAAAGTGGGACAAGAATGTGGAAATTTAGCCTTTCAGGTACAGATGACAGTATAGCTCTAAAGAAGCACTCGGGTCCTAAATTATTTGAGAGAATGTGGCCTGAGCAAAGGAAAGGTCTATATATTTGGGGCCTTTCTTTTAGAGCCTTCTCACCTTGGGAAGCAGCATGGAAGCCCTGGACCAAAGCAGGCACATTATCTGTGAAGAACCGCTGGCGGAACATGATCCGCACCTCAGCATGGCCAGCACGGGTCAGCACATCCGTGCAGTCGGACATGAGCAGAGAGAAGCCATCGGCTGCTGCTGGGCCTAGCTCTGGATCACTCAGGAGGCCCATGAGCTGGAGAAAAGAGGTGCACCAGAAGAGAAGAATCAGTCTTAAATACTCAAGAGGAGGATGGCTGTCCTTTCTGGGAGAATAAAGAGGGAAGTTTCTGTGTAGGTCCTTGGCTCTCCTGTCTCCAGAATGGACTTACCCGGTCTGTAAGGCAGGAGCTGAGAGGATGATATCTGAGTACTAGGGCCTTTGTTACCTGTAATCAGAAAGAAAACAGGGCATGACACTCAAACCCCAGAACTCCAAGAAGCATGCTTATGGTTCAAGGTCAAATGGAGAAATTTTATTTAGCCAGACATCATTGTCTCTGTCTAACCAGAATCCATTTTGGCTCCGTACCCAGAGAAGCAGTGTGAAGGCCTGACTACGACAGGGCCCAGGGCTCAGGCCAGCCTCTACTCTGTCCACAGCTAGCTGCAGGAATCCATCCAGCTGTTGCCCTAAAAATAAGAAACACTGATGGAGAGGCTACATACACATTTCTCCTTTAACAACAAAGGATAGAAGTCATTTAAATGCAGAGCTCCCTGAGAAGCCTTTAGAAGAGAACAGTATCATTCTGGCTGTGACTTTGCTCACTCAGCTCTAGGACACTAGCATGAGAGTCTGGTATCTCCTAACATGGGTGCTAGTATTTGGAAAGAGCAGTCTACTTCTAGTAAAAAATCATCTCTAATAGCTCCCTGTGGTGAGTAGGATGACAGACCTAGACAGAGCACTCTCCTTGAACCCTCTTATCTTCCTGTGTCCCTTAATGCTTTGCCCAACTCTGGTCCCAACTCTTGTCCCAAGGGCTGTCCCTTGGGAGTCCCTATTACATTATTAGCAGCTCCTTTTTTAAAGAGCATAAGGGCTAAACTTCCAAGATTTCATCAGTAATCGATTCAGGGAGGCTCCCAACCCCCAGCCTCATTTCAGTACCTGAAGGGAGCTTGTTGAGGAGTCCTGCAAAGCATTTGGCAGCAGCGGTGGAGGAAGAGGGGCAGCTGGGGCAGCAGCTCAGCTCTACAAGCTCCCGCATGAGTTGGTTCAGCTGAGGGATTTCCACCTACATAAAACCTGACCATGTGATGCACGAAGAGAACACTCGCACTCCAAGAAACACCCAGTAGAAAGTGGCAGCAGGGGCCAGGATGGATGAGAACTAAATTCTCCAGTGAGGAAAACAGAAGATCAGCTTAGCCCATGGCAAGTTTCTGTCCAGAAGTCACTTGGGAGCTGCCTCCCCTTATCAGAGTTAAACTAGGGTACTCCCCGAATGTACTCACATTTCGAGGTAAGGAGCAGACAAAGGCCATAAGCAGTGCAACCAGCCGCCTCTGCCCTGAGGAGCCATCCTATAAAGGAAGAAGAGCTCCAGCAAGCCTGTCCTGCCAGCAACAGGCTTGTCTGCCCCCAAACCGATCCCAGATTAGCCCTAAAAATTTGAAGGAAAGAAGTCCTGGGGCGCCTGGGTGGCTTAGTCAGTTAAACGGCTGCCTTCAGCTTAGGTCATGACCCCAGGGTGCTGGGATCGAGCCCCACATAGGGCTCCCTGCTCAGCAGTCTGCTTCTCCTTCTCCACGGCTTGTGCTCTCTTGCGCGTACTCTCTCTCAAATAATTACAATCTTAAAAAAAAAAAAAATTCCCAAGATTCTTTCCCTTCTGATCCATCAGACCCTCACCTGGAATGGCTGGAATCTGCAAGGGAAGCTGTTTTCAGGCAGGAAGGAGATGTTGCCATCCAAGAAAAGGGGCACAATGCGGGCGACACTCTGGGCAGCTAAGCTGGGGATGGAAGACTACGTATCACCAAGGAGCCAGGGTTCTGAACTGAAGTACCTTGAGTTCACATTAGAGTCACTGAGTCAATGGGCCAGAACATGATCATTCACTCATTCAGCAAGTATTAATTCAGCATATATTATGTGCTAAGAACCGTTCCCATTTTAGGCCCTGGTGATTTAGCAGTGAACCAGATAGATTAAATCCCTGTTCTCCTGGAGTTTACAGTCTAGAGAACTCAACATATATTAAAAAAAAAAAAATGCTCCATTGGTGATTCTTATGCACATCTGTAGCTAAGAACCATTAGCCCATGCCTCCACTACCCTCATAGTCCATGGTGCTAAAAAGCACCTTCCTTTTACTGTCAGCAAAACTACTCCCTCCACATTTGATTCTGGGTAAAAGGACAGCTCAGAAGGCAGCTACCTGCTGCTTCTCCCCAAGACTGCTATCCTCCCGCCTAGGATCAAGCCACATCAATGATTATACTCACTCAGGGCTCAAGTGGGTAGTGGCAGTGCCAATGACAGACACCATGGCGGCCAAGACCTCATCCTCCAACAGTACTTTTCTCAGAACTGAGTGTTCTTTCTCTGAAAAATCAACACACACACACACACACACACACACAGAATCACCAGGCTACGACTATGGTTCAGATGATTAGGTCCTGTCATCATCAGGGCTCCAGTCACAATGGCAGCAGTTTCTAACCTGTCCTCTAGTGGGGTTAGAGCACCAAGTAGCCCTGAGCACCAGCACGGCACCAGAAGGAGTGGTTAACGTGGGCCACAAAGAGTTCTTGAGAACTCTGTGCTGTCCTTTAGACTGGGCAATGTGGAAAATAAAGCTAGCTATTATGACCTTAAACTTCAGAAATATTTTAGTTTTTTCCAAAACTTAAAGATAACACAGATGTATCGTCACGGGTCTTCATTATCACAGCAGTTACCTACATGGAACCACCATAGGTACATACTATATGCACCACACATTCTTATTTACTCCTTACTAACTACCCTGTGACGTAGATACTACTCTTTATCTTCCCCTTATAAGCGAGGGAACAGAGGCATACAAAGGCTAAATATCTTCACTTAACAAGGAGTGGAGTTGAAGATGAAACCCAACCAGGTCAGCTTAACTCCAGAGCCTCATTCTAGCTAAACTAATTACATAGCAGTTATAG